GCTGCTGCGGTTAGTCGGCATTATCAGTGATGTTGACACTGAAAAATGCAACAACATCAATATTTCGGATCAACAAATGTTTCTTTTTTCAACTTTTATGTGTAATTGTTGCATCGTATTGCCTGTTTTTGGCAGCACTAGCAAACTTTTTCCACACTGAGGCACTTTATATCTGTTAGCTTCCCTCCTGCTCTCTGTGCTCACACAACCTGAGTCCAATTCTCAATAAAGCCGTCCTTATTTATGTAGTTTTCTGTTTCAGTTTTCAGACAACAGACAGAAACTCAGCTCACAAAGACTACGTGCTACCCAAGCTGGTACTCTGCACTGCTGAAATTCAGATTGTCTAACTGATGTCTTATAACAAACTCACTGAACACATAAGTTAAAGACAACTGTGCTGTGAATTTGGTTTTCATAGAATTCATAGGATTTCATCGGGGCGGCTGTGGCTCAGGTGGTAGAGCGAGTCGGTCAATGATCAGAAGGTTGGTGGTTCGATTCCACCCTGTAACCTGTGTCATGGTTGTTGTGTCCTTGGGCAAGACACTTCACCCACCTTGCCTGGTGTGAATGCGTTTGAATGGATTGTTTGAGGTGGTCGGAGGGGCAGAATGGCCGCCACGCCTCTGTCAGCTACAATCATAGCTACTACCACCAGAATGAATGTGTGTGAATGAATAATTGACAGTGTAGAGAGTCTTTGAGTGTCTAGAAAAGCGCTACATAAATCTGATCAATTATTTTATTATTATTAATTCAAAACTACTCCTGTAAAGGAGTAACTACACAGACAAGAGAAAAGGCTTTGGCTGCTTGTCAAATGTTCACGTTGCACTGCTCTTAATGCTGCTTGGATTCCTTTTGGAGTTGCAATGCTGACTTTGTTATTTTAGTTTTTATCACATTGGACGTTCCAGTTTAGGCACTTTAACATGTTTACATTTGTTCACATTCCTGTGTTGTACAATGACATGCGATTTGTCAACATACAATTCAGTTAAATGAGACATTTTGCTCATTCGGAGGAAAATTACTCATTGAGATGAATCAATAAATTAGTCGATAGATAATCAGAATAAAACATTGCTGTTAGTGGCAGCCCTACATTTGATCCCATGTAAACATGTGAGCTTTAATCTTTCACAACTAAACATAACAATGATTTTAATGGCGCCTGTGGCCTCAGATCTCTGCTCCATCCACTGTGTTCTGTGTTTAAAAGAGTTCATCGGTGGATTCATTCTGTTATTACAGATAAACACGACATCACAAGTTTCTTCTACCATGAAAACCTGCATCCACATTCAACTTCAATGTGTCCGTCTATGACTAATAAAATCAAACCTCTGCCTTTGCGTGGCTCCACTCAGCTAAATGCTTTACATCGGTTATCTTTTATAACGATTGATTTGAAGAGTGTTAATGGATGGAAGGTCTGGCACTGAAGCGGCCTTCTGGGAGATCTGTGTAAATCTAAACTAAACACAATCCCCAAGTTCTAAATGTCCACCTATTAGAACAACAAGAAGAAGGAGCTCATATTGACTGTTTTACAGTCCAGATTAAAAACCAGAGGTCATTGATTTTTTGCTCCTGAGAAGCTGCTCCAACTTTATTGTTTTAACTTTATTACAGATGCCGGCTACGAATGTATCATCAGCTACAGCAGCTCCTCTTTTCTTTTTTCTTTTTTTTTAAAGAAACTTGTTTTTATGTAATGACCTTTCATTACTGCTTTTATTGCTTTTTCATTTCATTGTATCGGCTTGAATCCACCATAAAGCACTTTGCAACCGCCTTCTATTGAGTTGTATCGAACCTGAAGAAGCGTTTGGTGCTTCTAGACACCAGATATAAGGTTTTGCTGACAGGCTTCCAGGCTGGCAGAGCTTCTCCTCACCCCGTGATATGAACGTTTACCGCTTTCAGCACGCTTTAATTAAAGACACTTACCGCTGATAGAGGCGCAGCAGAAGGTGTTTTTATAGCGAATACAATTAAATGTTGTTCATTGTGGATGGTTTTATGAAAAGATGAAATAATCTCCACCCTCCTTCTGTCTACCTCCAGGTTTTGAACCCACGCTGAGCTGACCCAGTAGAACTCAGACGAGTCCAGCCAGGGTCCGGCTGCATCAGCAGAAATGGCAGCCATGTCCGAGGCTCCGTCCTTCCTCACCTCCTCCTCCTCCTCCTCCTCCTCCCTGCTCTTCGTCCTCCTCTCCTTCTTTGTGCTGCTGTCTTGCCCTGGATCGATCCACGCAGGTTCTCCAGGGAAGAACTGTTCAGCCAGTGGAGACCCCTGTCAGGAAGGTGGGTTATCTGGGAGAGAGCTGTGGTTTAAAACGCAGGGATTGACATGAATACATCGGTTTCTGTACCTTTCAGTGAGTGCAACACGAGGGCAGGTGGGTTCACCCCTGACACGCTCGCTCTTCAGTGTCAGCGGGGGACGCTCAGCTTCACGACATCCATCTTAAATGATGAATACGTTTTCATAAAATGTGGCGACTTTCAACCATCGCACGGTTCCCAGGGTTTCCCTTTGTACTCTCTGTGGGTTTCCCCGACAGCCTCCTCAGGGATCAATCCCCTCCTGTTTTGTCAGTCAGACAGCACAGATGGCACGAAGAGATGGATGGTGAGGTAGGCAGAGAAATAGGTCAGAAACGAACACCGAGGCTTCATTTTGTTTCATAAGTAAATGGAAATTGACCTGATATTCTGCTTCAATGACATGTATGTTCTTACCAAATGTAGGCCTGCTTGGGATAAGCTAGTTATCTGTTCAGACAGCTGGAAAGCTCAAGGTCAAAGTGAACTTTCAAACTAGCTGGTGTGATTTGAGCAGAATATTAGAGCAATTTAAATAACGCCACGGCTACATGGTGCAAGGTAATGTAATCATTTTCCAGGTATAACATCATTAATCCAGGATTAATGACCTAAACCAGGATTAACCGTCTGAATCCCAAACTCCACCAGCATGTTATCTTTAAAACAATGCCAGAATTCCATC